TTGAAATTTCATATAGGAGGGTTAACATGACAGAGAACTGGAATGAAAATGTGACTTTTCTGAGATGAAGAGTCGTCTCCAATACGATAGCATAGTGGCGTACTCTCTGCTCTGCTGGTGCGGAGGATAATGAATAGCATTTTACTAAATAGCACAGAAATACATTGTGAAGCAGGCATGATGACGGAACTGAGGCAAAGTTGAAGATCTTCTGCAAAGTGTACCGCTGACTTCGACCATGCATATATCAGTGTCGTAGTGAATGATTGCGACGACGGCCTTTGCTCGCTACCGAAGCCGTGTACATAACCGCGGCAAAGGCGAGTCATCAGCTAACTGCGTCAGATTTAACTTCGTCAGTGGCGTCGCGTAACCCGTGCGGAACAGGAGACGGGATGATGTGTCTAAAAATTATTGCTATCGAAGATGTTTTAGAACATAATTAACTCAACGTTATCATAAGGCACTATAGTAACTGTGACCATAGCGTACACTTTGATGATAGATTTGATTTATCAATCAGTGCATAGGATTACGACACCCCCTCCCGGAGCTTCATCCCATCCTTTGCTACTGATTCCTTTCTTGCGCATTGTCTGATACGATCAGAATTCAATCTTATCCCTGGTTCGGATTCCGGCTTGTCAAAAGTGCGGCCCAGTCCCGTCGTCTTCCACTTCCACTGACAACTTTCAGCCATGAATTTTTGGCCTGACTTTCGGTCTTTCACCGAAATGATTATGATGCAACTCTAACCATCATGCTGTCGGTTGAGAACCACGAGAGGAGCTATGACAAAAATCAACCCTCTTTGAAAAACTTCCTCTGCGTACCGTACAAACCTCGACCTGTGCGTTTGAATTGGACGGTGGCAGTCGAGTCAAAGACTGTGAGGTTGAAGTGTGCAAGGCTCAAGGCTGGTGCGTTTCACCGACACTCTTCTGTTTGAATACCAGCGATTGCCATCGAAGTGAAGGAACAAATTACGTTGGCTGCGCAGATGATACGACTCTGACGGCAGGGATATAAAATAGCACGGAATTAAGCGGATCTTTCGAAACTTCAGAAAGCATGCAAATGCGCGTCAGATGGTAGCCTTGAAATCAAACCCATCGAAGTTGATTTATAGGATTTGTTCTTCATCTGAAAATCAACTGATCATCAGCCAGCAGTGACTCCACGATTGCCGACAACAAAAGGCTTTTCAGTAACTTGTCACAGGTGCAGTATACTGAATTACTACTTGATCGATACCTGATAGAGAGATCAGATTCTCAACCTGGCAAGGAAACTGTGCCATAGTGCTTCGCTGATATCCTATCTAACACAAAGTGGATTACGTGACGAATAACACCAACAACATACTACTGCATGTGCCTGATCACTACTGTTATACTCTGCAACAATTGCTTTCTGACCTGACATGTTGATGAATGGTGGATGGTAG